GATCCCGGATTGGGTAGGGCTCTCTTAGAGTTTTGTGCTCTTGTTGAACGGAAAGGGTATTTAGAATCTCTATGTGAAGAAAAGTCGTGTGAGCTTGATATGTGCTTCCGCAACACAAGAATTGAGGATCTTTGCCTTGACTTTACCCTCCCTGGATATCCAGATTATGCTCTCTTTTCAGCATCTGATTTAAAAATGGTTAGCTTTTGGCAATCTCTCCACCTATTCATTTCTGAGATTTTTTGAGATTTTGAGATAATATTCGTGGACTTGAATCATTCTATTTGCACTGACATTGCTAGGTAAATCTGTATAATTTAGAAGAATATGTCTCATTTATCGTAGATGCAACGGTAAAATCTGGAATCTCTAGACAAGTGGAAGCATTCATGTCAGGTTTTGATCAGGTTAGCGCCCATCATCCCTAGTCTTTTACCTCAATCTCTTCAATCTGCTTTCTTCTGGAAAAGATGAGGGGTTGCTAGGGAGCTATCTTTTTTAAACACATGTTTTCTGGGCCTTTTGTGTATGTGCACAAAGCTTGTTCTGACCACTACTGGATGTCTTGGTCTGGTGCATAAAAGACCTGAGCATTTGCATCAAGGAGCAGAATTCAAGAATTAAAAAAATGGAAGTGTATTTTACAGAGATTTATTTGAAATAAGCAAATATTCAAATATTTATTACTTGTATTATGTGTGTGATTGTCCTGTTTATGATAATTTTATGGCATTTTTTATGAGTTTTACTCATCCTTCATCAAATGCGCTTTCTTAGGTGTAAGATTTTTTCATTGCTTTACAGATGATATTTGACTGCCTTTCAGGAAGTTCCAAAAAAAATGTGTTCCGTATATTGCACCATGCTGCTCTCTTATGTCTGTTTTATGGTTTCCGTCATTAATCATACTGAAAAGGCTGTCTTTGTTTCTGTCCGTTTACTGTTCATTTCAGGTCTTCCCTATAAGACATCTAGAGATTTTCACTGAAGACGAATTAGAGTGCTTGCTATGTGGAGAACATGAACTGTGGAATGTATGTATTTTCACAATATAAACAAATTTATGATTTCATCTGGCATGCAATAAAGATTTTCCTTTTTCTTTTTCCTCCTGGATACAGTCGAGCGCACTTTTGGATCACATCAAATTCGATCATGGATACACAGTTAGCAGTCCCCCAGTTGTAAACGTTAGTATTCATTCTATTGATTATTCTTGATTTAGACCTTGATAATTTTTATATTCAACTAATGGCAATCTTCTTAACTTCCAGTTACTGGAAATCATGCGACAGTTTGATAATAAACAGCAAAGAGCATTCTTGCAGTTTGTGACTGGAGCACCCCGGCTTCCAACGGGGGGTTTGGCTTCTCTCAACCCTAAATTGACAATTGTTCGGAAGGTCAGTGTTGTTATGCCTTTTGTTTTCAATTATCTTGATTTTTTTTTATTTTGTGGACTGTGAAAGGAATTTTATTTTTTATGGTTTTTGACAGCATTGCAGCAAACGGGTAGATGATGACCTCCCAAGCGTAATGACCTGTGCAAATTATCTGAAGCTTCCACCTTACTCTTCAAAAGTTGGCCCGTTTCTTTTTCTTCACTTTCTTAAGTAATGTTTTATATCTTTACTCATGGAGTTGAGAATTTTTTAATAAATTTCGTGTATTAATTTTGCAGGAGATCATGAAAGAGAAGCTCTTGTATGCCATAACGGAAGGACAAGGTTCATTCCACCTTTCCTGATCTCCTATATCTATGGCCGGAGTGGTACATAACATGTAAATATGAAATTATCAGGTTACTTGTGGGTGTACATAAATGTGACCACAGTTTAGGCAGTTGGTTGTGGTGGTGGTCTAAGGAACTTAATGAGTAGAGGTGAGATGAAACTCGTGCCGCACTAACTCTAGTTAGCAAAAGTTGTAAATATACATCTTTTGGTAAATATTAATGGGATCAGTTGTGAAGGTGAATTCTATATGGCATATGACCCTGAGATCGTTGAGCTTTCTACCTTTGTTTCTA